ACTCTGATTTCACTTTCACGTGAAACAAAAAAGGAATTCTCGTAGACTGCGTCAACACGAATATCGTATAAAAGCGAAACGGCTGCAGTATAACGAGATTTATCCGTCCTCATCTGGTGAGATCAACCAACGAATCTCTTCTTCATGCACTTTCATACGAAATGAAAGTCCCCCTAACAATGTTATCTCAAGAGATTCATCGAAATTCAGTTTCTCTTCTTATCTACATTGTAGGATAGACCCGGATACTCTTCTTGACCTAGTGCCAACTTGAGACTTTCACAAGAATGAGTTCCAGCTCTGCTGATGCTCAGCATATGATGAATGAAAGCTCAGCCCAAAATGAGAGATGTTTCGTGGATTGCGTCAACCGGAAAGTCGTATAAAAGCTAAACGGCTGCCGTACAACGGGATTCAGCCGTCCTCTTCTGATATGATCGACCTAAAATCACGTCTTGATGCACTTGTATGCAAAATAAAAGCCGCCCCAACAATGTAATCTCAGAGAAGTCATCGAAACCCAGTCACTCTTTGTATCTATAAGAAGTAGGTAGGTTTCAATCTGACCACCTTTCTTGCCTTCGTGTTTTTGGTGAATTATCGTTAAGCACGGTATCCTATTCTGACGATGTCCGTCACATGACGGACGAAAGTTCAGCAAGGATTCATCGGGGTCGCAGGGCAGTGCGCCAAGGACCTATTTCCACAAATATACAATCACAGCTCCAAGGCGATTCTCCCAAAGCTTCGGGTGAAACCAACTTACGAATCCATTCCACTTGCCTTGTCAAACGAAACGAAAGGTACCCCAACATCACTATGGTGTAATGGTTAATTTGTCGAGGTTATACGCTGTACTGCCATGGTTCGTGTCCCGAAGGTGATGTTAAAATGGCCTATGTGAATCCGAAAGTGCAGTCCACCTTAGATTAGAATAACTTTTGGGAAAACAAGGCTATGTGAGATGCAATGGAAGCATAAGTTCTACTCATATCATAGCGGAAACGAAATATGGTGCATACACTTCATATTAATAAATTAATCTGTTTCTAGTGCTAGTTTATCGATCCCTGCAAAGAATTCTCCTATACTTATTAACATATTTGTAAATCACCACAGATTTTATGATAGAAGGTAAAATTCCGTTAAAAATAGAGGAGGGTCACATATATAAAATGTTAATGATATGAATGCCGTTTAAAATGTGTACTCGGCATCTCGTTATTGTAAAGAATAACCTGGCCTTAGATAAAGAAACCAAAACGAGTCACGAAATATCTCGTGTAGAAAAAGGAACGCTACATAAGAGAATTTGGAGTGAAAAGGCAAAAACGATGATGGAGTGTAGTGTCGCAGCAAGAGAGGAGCGTTTGGAAACAAGGGGTCACAAAGAAGAACGGACGAGAACATTACTCAGCCTAAGGAGTTCCTGGCTTAAAATACCTCATGTGTGCTTAAAAAGTCACGTTCTGATTTATTAAGCAGGCAGACTCGATGCGGTGGCTAGGTCTGCTTAGTCCCCACGGGATATAGTGCGGATGGGTGATGTTAAGTGTTTAAAGAGTCTGCGTATAGCAGACGTAAACCACAGGGACAAGGAGATGAGTAGAGTGAGGCATATATTATTTCAAAACAATTACATATTAGGATTAGTAGAAAACTACATATCAAATGTCAGTAAAAGGATGAGGGGAGTCCGCTATCTGGAGCGAGAAAGACAATTGGAACATTATACTCGATTCCTGGTTTTGCCTTCCTATCAGCTTGCAAAAATGATAGGTGATCTACTAAGAAAGTGGAACAATAAAAAAATGCATAAAGATAAATTAACAATTACTTCAGCAGTTCGCTTGTTTAGAGAATTTTCGGGCATCCAGTCTAGATCGGGCTGCTACAAGGTTTTATGTTCATGTGGTAACCCGCAAAATACAATGTTTTGCGGGTTACGGAGACGTTACATCAAAGCGTAAGATTAGGTAGTCTATAGACATTGACAAAGCAGCCAACATCCTGAATAAGAATAAAAAGTGTATAAAACTGAGTAGGAACTATTTATGGCTGTTGGATATGTTTAAGGAGAGGGAGAGGAGGAAAAATCACTGAAAAAGAGGAGGTTTGATTAGTATCTATTCTAGCTTGGGCTATCACACTTCCTATGACATGAGCATACACACAATAGACAATAGCACAAGCCCAAACATGATTCAACATTAGACGTTCGTACGCTAGTTCTTTTGTGTAATGAAACAACTGCCACCGAACGCACTTCCTGTTCGAGAAGTTAACTTCCCTCATTTGCAAGCATGTAGGGTAACGTTGAAGTAGCTAACCAACTCATGGGATGCCTCATTAAGATCTCAAGGTTAGGTGTACAAAAAAAGCGACTAGGATTGCAGCAAGCCACATTTTCTCTTGGTTTAGTATATTTTTGCTCTATTTCGTGAAGTATATGTTCCTGTTCTGATGCTGTCTATCACAGTACAGAAAAAAGCTTTGTATATTTTCTTCAGGGTCGCAGAACGGTGAGCCGAGGACTTTTTAGCACAATAAAACAGTTTTCCTTATGCAGTAATCCTCCATCAGTTTCCGCTGGGACCACATTACGGTTTCCTTCAAACCAACTTTTCCTTCGAAATGGAAAGTGATGTAATATTAATGCCTATCAAGCAAGAATAAATAAGTAAAATTTTAAATTATGCTCTTACAAAACTTATTCTAAACATACCTAGCATATCATAAAACGCTTTCAATTAAGAGTAATTCCTGACTCTTAACTGGAATATTTAAAATATCCTTTCATTAGTATAGCAATATAAGTATAGTAACATATCAGGAAGCGTTACAATTTAATAAATAAATAAAAACAATCAATAAAGAAGCCTATATAAAAATTATTTAAATTGGTGCATTAATTTGAACTACTAATTGATACATGTAATCTATGTAAGACAAATTGTTGAAGCTTAATAAATCATACTGACGCAAATTGAGTGCCTTAATGGATCAAAATGTTAAAAATGAATTTTGATTAAAGAAAAAAAAACAATTAAAAGATCAATTAAATCAAATGTATTTTAATTTTACATAATATGGTTACGAGCAAAGAATAAGTCCATCTTTCTCCGATGAATCTTCGTGGTCCAGCAAATCAATTGTACCAACGTCCCTTTGAACCTCACTAAGTATCCAAATATTCATTAGAGAATTTAAAAATTTCATATTGCTCGTTTCTGCATCAGCTTTCACATTTTCAGGTATTCTTGACTCACAATCTTTTACTTGATGAGGATTTTCAGTCAAAAAGGTCACCGAATTTATGCCGAAGTAATTCCATATTTTAGAGGGTTGTTGCAGTAAAAAACATATTTTATGTATTTTTAATTTCTTATTACAGGTGTAAAAGTCATCTTTTATGGTTGCAAGTATAGATGAATGACTATTGACATCAGTATTGCAATTAGGCATAATTCTCGAAGAAAATATAGTCCTCCATTGAGGGGCGTCATTTGACTAAGTAGTTCAATTACTAACAAATACTTACATACTTTGGATAATAAGCACGCCTTTGCACATATGTAATAGGTAAAACAATTGTTAAATCTAATATATTTTAAATTGCTTCTGCTTTGTTCTAGCTCATACTCCATTATTTTGATGCCATTACACTCGTTCCCACTTTTTAAAATATTAGTATGTTCAGTTGTTTTCAAAATTTTAATCATTTGAGTACTTTTATGATCAGACAACATCCCTATGCGACATCAAAATACGCAGTGTTACAACCAGCATTCGCTTATGTAAAAATATCGTAAAAGTATTTTAAATTATTAAAATTTTAAAATTAATTAAAATCCTTTTTTATTTTATTTTTTATTTTTAGCGCAGTCTTTAAGCTATGTGATTTGGCGCAGCATTCCTCTATGGGCAGGACGTCTTCCCACGCACTATTTTACTATTCCAAATGAATTTATTTTGCACATTTGAACAAGGTTACTTAACGAACCTTACGGTATTGAATATTTACTTTATTATCTTATTTCTGCCACAACTTACTTAGTTATTGCCTCTGTTTACCTCTCATTGGAGACCGAATATTTATTTTTTTGTTAAGCGCCTGCTTTCTAATGCTAAAACTCACTAATAAATTTGTTTTGGAGTGTATTCTTGAGAGGGGTTCGTTTTTACCTAGCATACCTATCCGACACTGACAATACTTATAGGCTAAAAATATAATTTAAAGACTAATGACACTTCGATTGTATTACAAATACAGTAGCTACTGGGATATTTAAATTTGAAGGGCAGCCTTTGTATCGCTATCTCGGTCTTTAATTGTGCTTTTTTTCTAGTTAGCAATTTATAGGATATCCCAAAGCCTTAGATGGGGTCTGTCGTAACTTGTTTCTCTACATAGGTTGTATGCTTTACATCTAAAGATTTATTATGGAATCTTTAGGAGGCTAGTTTAGTACTGTAGATTTACGTCAATATTTTCTGACCTTGCTGAGGTGTTCGGTTTAAGAATTTCTTTCGAAACAAAACGCAACTTACTATTGCACAAAAGGCCTTAGTCTCTGCCTCTTTTATGCATTCATATGGGACTGGAATATCATTATTGGCAGCATATTTATTTTTCATCATATTTTCGTGACAGTTACTTTCTCAAGATGTTTTCCATCCTCCCTAAGACATTAGACCACTTGTCATTTATAACATAACAAGATATCCTTTTTCTACATCATACTCGTTCAATCATTATAGTTCCGTATTTATGGCATTCTTAAATGCTAATAGGCATATTTAATATTCTGGGCGTTTCAGTTTCATAGCTTATTTGGCTTATATGAGATGTATTTACTATTTCGTTTAAGTTGATGAAGGACTGGTAGTAGAGTAATTTCAGTTGAGGGTGTCGTTCTCTCATGGCGAATCTTTTGCACCATCTGGTTCGGGAGATCCTATTGCCTTTTTTTCATCGTTTTATGCATTTATGTCTTTAGATGCGTACACTTCTCACATCTACCCTGTTGCAAGTGGGCAGGGCCAAATTTTCCTCGTCTTTAGGCTCATCTCTACATAAAGATTTCTATCCTGCCGCGCCCCGTGCTTTAATGAATTGCCCTATTTTGCACTCACTCGAGGAAAACGTCTCCAGTAACATTGGCACCTTCTATTCTATACCAAGTGCCAATTTCTCCCGTATATTAACTCCAATTGTCAAACCGGAGTTCGCCAGGCAGCTACAAGTGTTCAATGATTATTCTTTCCTTATTCGCCAACCGGCCATTGATATGATTCAGAAAATAAGAAAAATTCGTGACCTGGCAAACAATTCTCACAGGGCAGCTGCCTCAGAACATCTTCTAGCCGGGGCCATTGTTCCTCGCTTTGTTCTGCATGGACAGCCTGGTTCCGGCATTTCAGTACAAATGGCTCACGTCGCTCACTTTGCGGCCAGTGAGAATTGGTTAATATTTCATTTCAGTGACAAAGAGAAATGGCTAGATAAGAATCCAGACAAAGTTCCTAGCTGTGAGTTACATCAGAAGCAGCACCAAACTTCTGAGCATCCTGGGAATATTTTTGATCTCCCTGCCCGATCTGTAACCTGGCTGAATAAGTTTATAAGCATGAACAAGCCAACACTCGAGAAAGTAATTTTTTGGTTTTACTTTTATAGTTTTTTATTCCAACATAATTAAACTTGCTCTCTTTTAGTGGAATCCTGTCTTGTCTCGGAGTGTTGAGTGGGCCTCCAGTGATATTTTGCCCATAGGAACACCATGGATTGAGGTAATAGATTACGCTATAAAGCGTTCCAAATATGCCAGCGATTGCATCGGGATCCTGTTGAGAGAGGTAGATGATTCGTTTTTTATTTATCCCATTCATAGAATATTCATACATTTTACTTCTCTGTTTTAGTAATACTCCGTTTATT